GTACATAGTACCTCTACTCATTAACCAAGAAGTGCTCAAAGTGTTAATAAAAACACACACACAATTTTTGACAAGTCCTTTATTATAACAAAAAACATAAAACTGCTGACCTGAATGGAAAAAAAAAAAAACATGCCCGATGAACACGACTGTTCCATCTGACAGGTAAACATAGGGGCAGAGGTTACCTAATGATGTAACTGGGTGACCCCTCCTCAATATCTAGCTGTCATTGGGCAAATGTCATTCCCAATGGGGGCAGGGTTATGCGGTGATGTCACTGGGTGTTCCTGCCTTATATTAACACTCTCTCGAAGAGAGGTAGACATGGGAGCATGGTCACCCGGTTAACATCTGTCCCTATGTTTACCTGTCAGACGGCTGTGTCCCTGGATGAGAACAGTTATGTTAGATGGTGGCTTTTTTTATTTTTTTTCATTCTGGTCAGAGTTTTTGACAAAAATTGTGTATTTTTTTACTCGCTTTAAACTTTTTTTGGTGAATCAGTAGGGGTACTATGTACCCCATACTCATATACATGGGGGCAGGATCTGGGGGCCCCTTGTTAAAGGGGCTTCTAGATTTTGATAAGCCCCCCACCCCCATGTTGAGGACATGTGGCTTTGTATGGTTCAGGGGGGGGTGCTTTCTCATCCCCTCCCACCTTCCTGACCTGCCAGGCTGCATGCTTGGATAAGGGTTTGGTATGGATTTGGGGGGCACCCCGTGCCATTTTTATTAAAAAATGTTGGTTTTACCAAAGGGTCTGGTATGGGTGGGGGGGACTCCCATGCTGTTTTTTTTTACTTCTTTTGTATTGCTAGCATTCTTTTGTTTACATTCAGCTGTCAGTGGTTGTTAAGAACGTGGAAACTGGCTTCCTAGCCCATTCCTTAACGACAAGCTATGCTTCACACACAATTTGGATCAGTCAATAAAATTTCAACTGATTTGACACCGATTAGTTCTGAAAAGTTTGAATTTGTTAGAAAACAAACAAATGAAACAAAACTAAACAAATTTTAATGAAATGAATTACTATTTTAATTTGGTGAATAACCGCTTCCCCTCTGCCCTATAGCAGAAATACTGCTGCAGGGCGGCATAGGTGCGCAAAATCATGTATATATATATATATTTGTGGCCACGGCTATCAATCACCAGGTCCCGGCCGGTAATTACCCCTTGGCTCCTGGTAATTTCCAAAGATCTCCAACAGGGAGGAGGACTGTTTTGTTTACTAACAGTTCTCCTCCCTGTCAGCTGGGACACACTGCTCTGGATGGCTGTGCACAACTAAAACACTCCCAGTACACAGTTATCCCTTTGATTGCACCTCATGTTAACCCCTTCCTGCCCAGTGCCATTAGTACAGTGTCAGAGCTTTTTTTTTTTAGCTCTGATCACTATATTGGTGTCACTGGGGATGTCAGTGACACCAAGTCAGTTCCCCCCAGTGTCAGAATGTCTGCCACAGTCGTGCAGTCCTGCTATAAGTTGCTGATCGCCGCCATTACTAATAAAAAAAGAGAGAAAAAAAAATCCAGTATATATACAGTACCACCATTTGTAAACACTATAACTTTCATGCAAACCAATTAATTTACATGTATTGAGATTTTTTTTAGCAAAGACATGTAGCAGAATACATTTTGCCCTAAATTTATGATGAAATTTGATTTTTAAAATTTTTTTACTGGACATGTTTAATAGCAAAAAGTCAAAAATATTGTTTTTTTCTCAAAATTGTTGGTCTTTTTATATAGCACAAAAAATAAAAAATGCAGATTTGATCAAATACCACCAAAAGAAAGCTCTACTTGTGGGGGAAAAAAGGACATAAATTTCATTTGGGTGCAGCATTGCATGACCTCGCAATTGTCAGTTAAAATAATGCATTTCCGTAAGGCAAAAAATGGCCTGGTCAGGAAGGGGGGTAAATCCTCAGGAGGGCAAGTGGTTAAAATACATCCAAACCTCCGAATAATCAAAAATGTTTCCAAATTTAGATTCAGACTAAAAGGAATTGCAAATGTCTACTCAGATTAGGCTAGGATGAATTCATAAATACACAAAATATATCACAAAAAAATATGTCACAATAGTGGATATTAGCATTTATAGGTAATAACACCAGGGATTGTTGATCCAGGAATAATCTGATTGTCTTCTGGGGGATCAGGAAGGAATTTGTTTTTCCCTTGCTAGAGCAAATTTAACCTTTTTTATATATTGTGTTTTTTGCCTTGCTGTGGATCAACTACGAGCGTATTATTCTGTATATGGAGTTTTCTATTTATTTATTCTATTTATTTTTTAAATGTATTAATTCATTCTATTGGTTTTAACTAGATAAACTTTTTTTTCAGTTTAACTTTGTAAGTACTACAGTGTGCTTCCTTTTTTTCTTAGCAGAATATAAACATGCCCCATTTGGTTCTGGCAAGCCGGGATATTGTTACATCAGAGGAAAGAGAACATTCAAAAAAGAACGTATAAGCACAAGTGCTTTCAGAAAGCTTTGAGTGGTGCTGCATAGACAGAAATTAAAATAACTTAAAATAAATATATTCTGTTAATTTGCATTTTCTCAAAAGTTCAGTTTGATGGTGGGTAAGTACAGTAATACACAAAAGATAAATAAAAACAACTGAAGGAATTCCAGTAAGTCATTACCAAACAGGAAGATTGGCTTTTTATTGTGCAGCTCAAAATTATAATGATGCAAGCTTTCCTAAAATTTTACACTTATGTGTCAAGAAGAGAACAGCTGTTCTGTACCATATTTCTTTTTCTGTGTGTATAATTGAGGTTTTCAGATGCAGTATTTGATGTCTTACATTCAAAACCTTACATCTTTAAAGTATGAGTTAGTCAATAAAAGTTATATGTAACATGGACTTTTGCTATTATCGATGGAAAACCTTATATAACACTGCTGTTTCTTTTCTAACAAACCTTGTCATGTGTGTCTAAACTACAAGCCTGAGAAAGAACAGGGCCGGAAACCTTTGACAGGGATGTCATCCCTGCACCTAACTGTGATAAATTAATTGGCAAAAAATATGTACCTAGAGAAAAAAAAGAGAATATAAAAAGTAAACAATTGTTGGCAAAAGTGGCAGTGTAATCCTATTTCCTCCTCCTATATTTAACCACTTTAAGTCTGCCCTGTAGCAGATTTACTGCTACAGGGCGGACTTTCTGTGTAAAATCTTGTATATAAACAGGATTTTGCACTTCCGCCATAGGGGCCGGAATGCCACATCTGCTGTGGTTGGACACAGCAAAAGCCAATCAGCAGGTGTTGGCCAATGGATAAGCACCAGAACCTTTTGATTGCTCAAGAGACCGACAGAACACAGCTCTGCAGAGCTGTGTTCTGTTCAGCAGTGATCTGCTAGATTTTCTTTCCCTGCAAAGGAATAAAATCTAGCAGATTGCCATTAAAAACAGCATACACAGTACACAAAACCACTGGCTAGGCACACAGTTAACCCTTTAATCACCCTATATGTTTAACCCCTTCCTAGCCAGTGTCATTAATACAGTGAGAGTGTATATTTTTAGCATGGATCACTGTATCAGTGTCACTGGTTCCCACAAAGTGTCAGTTAGTGTCAGACTGTCCATGCAATTTTGCAGTCCCTCTACAAGTCGTTGATCGCTGCTATTACAAGTATTTAAAAAAAATTCCAGTATATATACCGGATTTTGTAGATGGTATCACTTTTGTGCAAAGCAATCAATATATGCTTATTGGGATTGTTTTACCAAAAATATGTAGCAGAATACATTTTGCCTAAATGTATAAAGAAATTAGATTTTTTTTAAAAAATTTTATTGGGTATGTTTTATAGCAGAAATTGAAAAAAAAGTGTTTTGTTTTTTTTTTTCATTTCAGTTTTTTTTTCATTCATAGCTCAAAAAATAAAAACCACAGAGGTGATCAAATACCACCAAAAAAGTGCCACTTGTAGAAAAACAAAACAGAAATGTAATTTATGTTCAGCATTGCATGACCGCGCAATTGCCAGTAAAGTAACGCAATGCTGTATAGCAAAAAAAATGGCCTGGTCATTAGGGGGGTAAATCTCTTGGAGCTGAAGTGAAGCTGACGTTCCACCTCCTGAATGTGCCATTCAAACTGCTCAAGCATTTGAAAATCCTGACTTTCTGAAAAGTAATATTTGCAAAGAGCAAAGCTTACAATTTCTCACCAACATTAGACAAAGCTTTGGTAATGTGAAAACTACCTTGGGCATCCAGCTCTTTATTGTGGAAGGAAGAAGGGAGTGTGTGCCCCAAACCTTTGTGCTTTCAGTAATGCATTATGGAGGTGCTGTGCAAGTGACAACAGACATGGTGCCTTCAACACAGCGCTTATGTTACTTTTCCAGTGGTGTGCTTAGTACAGGATTCCTTTCACCTCTTCCTATCTCATCTTGCCTGAGTACTGTTATGTGGGTAGCACATAGGACCAGATTTAAAATGAGGTTCACCAATAACAAAAAACTTCTCATACAATGAATATTTACACATCATGACATATATAGGTAGTTTAACCACTTGCCCTCCAGATGATTTATCCCCTTCCTGACAAGGCCATTTTTTGTGTTAGGGAGCTGCATTAATTTAACTGACAATTGCGCGGTCATGCAATGCTGTACCCAAATGAAATGTACGTCCTTTTTTCCCCACAAATAGAGCTTTCTTTTGGTGGTATTTGATCACATCTGCATTTTTTATTTTTTGTGCTGTAAACAAAAAAATACCAACAATTTTGAAAAAAATATATTTTTAAATTTTTGCTATTAAACATGTCCAGTAAAAAAATGTTTTAACTCAAATTTCATCTTAAATTTAGGGCAAAATGTATTCTGCTACATGTCTTTGCTAAAAAAAAAATCCCAATACATGTAAATTAGTTGGTTTACGTGAAAGTTATAACGTTTACAAATGGCGGTATACAGGATTTTTTTTTCTAGTAATGGCAGCAATCAGCGACTTATAGCAGGACTGCAGAACTTTCTGACACTGGGGGGAACTGACTTGGTGTCACTGACATCTCCAATGACACCAATATAGTGATCAGTGCTAATAAAAAAGCTAATAAAAAGCACTGACACTGTACTAATGGCACTGGGCAGGAAGGGGTTAACATCTGGGGTGATCAAAGGGTGTGCGTGTTTTACTGTGTGTGTGCTTTCCACTGTAAGCACAGTGCTGTGCTATACAGAGCCATACAAAGTAGTGTGCAGGAGCTGACAGGGGAAAGAACTGTATTGTTTACAAACAGTTCTCTCCCCGGTCCATAATACTCACCCGGTGCCAGCAAGTAATCACCAGCTGGGACCCGGTGATTGATAGTGGCTCATGTGCGCCCCCTACCCAGAACTGCAAAATCATGTATATATATGTAATTGTGCGCACCACACGTAATGTGTGCCTCCCTGTAGCAGTATTTCTGCTATAGGGTGGAGGGAAAGTGATTAATATCGGTAAAGGGTTGTTGCTTTGGGTGCCTACAGGTCCCAGTGATTAAAATCTGTCCCTAAGAGCAAGGCTTTCTCTATGGACATGCTGATGTTCGGAAAGTTGGTATTTTCCAATTGGGGCCACACAAGAGAAATGAGTAGTGCTCAGGGGCGGACTGACCATTGGGGAACTCGGGCACTGCCCGAGGGCCCGGGGTCAGTAGGGGGCCCCATGAGATGTTCCTGGTACCTTTCATTGGCTTTTTTGGGTGTGATTTGAGTGTGGGCGAGGACACAGGAGCCCCATGATCCCCTATTGCCCGAGGGTTCCATGAGTTGTCAGTCCGCAACCTGGACTAGTGCTTTAAATTAGCAACATACAGTAAAACTACAGCACATTGCATTGATATGTTTAAAGAAAATTTGGAAACTGATGTGTGAAAAAATAAACATATTCATATTTTTTATTTAGCAACCCTTTCACTAGAAGTTCTAAGGTCTTTTGTTTGCAAGCTACACTTCAGAAAAACAAGATGAATAATGGTGAATGTGAAGAATTAAGAACTGAAAAAGCTTTTGTTAATACTAAACACTCCTTGAAAAACAAGTTTATTAAACATAACAGGAGCTACTAAAATCAATAGTACAATCCTTTTAAAAATGTGTATTAAACGTTTATTTAGTTTGTGGTGCTCATAAAAGTGTGAGGACCCAAAAGTATGTCACATACATATATTCATTTAAAATGACAGCACCATCCTAATGGGAATGTATAGTTGCTTTGTAGTCTCCTTTTTAATTTCTTATGGTCAGAACTAGGGAATAACATGATTTTGAAATTCTGACAAGCTTAACCGCTTACCCTCCCCCTATAGTAGAAATACTGCTACAGGGCAATAGGGCTGCACAAAATCATGTATATATGTGATTTGCATTTCCAGGTAGGGGGTGCATGTGTACAGGGGCGGACTGACCATTTGGAAACTCGGGCACTGCCCGAGGGCCCGGGGTCATTAGGGGGCCCCATGAGATGCCTCTGGTACCTTTTTCTTAAGCTTTTTTGAGATTGAGCAAGGACACAGGGGCCCCATGATCCCCTATTGCCTGGGGGCCCCATGAGTTGTCAGTCTGCCCCTGCATGTGTATCACCCTAGCTGGACCGTCATTGCATGTCAATCATCAGAGTTTCTCCGCCGGCACCCGGCGATCGCTGTGCAAAGCTGACAGGGTCTCTCTCTGCCAGCAAGGACATGCTGCTTGTATTTCTCTGCACATCAGAAAAATACAAAGCAGCATGCCTCCCTTGTAAAACAGCATACATCACACACAGTAAAACACACACACAGCACACAGTTAACCGTTTGTTGATCGTCCAAAATTTAAACCCTTTCCTGCCAAGTGTCATTAGTACAGTGCCAGTGCTTTTTATTAGCACTGATCACTGTATTAGTGTCACTGGGGATGCCAGTGGCAGTTAATCAGTTCCCCCCAGTGTCAGAATGCCCACCGCAGTTCCGCAGTCCTGCTATGAGTCACTGACGCCATTACTAGTATAAAAAAAAAAACCCAGTATATATTTGTAGGCACTATAACTTTCAAGTAAAGCAATTAATTTACATGTATTGGGATTTTTTTGTAAAAACACGTAGCAGAAAACATTTTGGCCAAAAAAGTATGATGAAGTTTGATGTTTAAAAAAAAATTTACTTGAAATGTTTTATAGCAAAAAGTAAAAAATTTAGTTTTTTCTTTTCAAAATTTTTGGTATTTTTTTTTGTTTCTAGCACAAAAAATAAAAAACGCAGAGATGATCAAATACCACCAAAAGAAAGCTCTATTTGTGGGGGAAAAAGACATAAATTGCATTTATGTATAGCATTGCATGATTGTGCAATTGTCAATTGAAGTAACGCAGTGCTGTAACTCAAAAAATGGCCTCATCAGGAAGGGTGGTAAATCCTCTGGAGGGCAAGCGGCTAAATTTGCCACGACATGTATGATTTCACATTTGGCAACATTTCTGTGAATTCATCCTCTAATTTCTCTTTTCAGTGTAAGCAAGTTAAAGTGGTTGTAAAGTCTCAAGGTCATTCTATGCATGAAGGTAAAAAACCTTCTGTGTGCAGCAGTGTTCCCAGCCCCCTCAATACTTACCTGAGCCCCATTGCGATGTGCATTACAGCCTCAGCTGTCCTGGGTCTCTGCCTCCTCATTGAGACAGCAAGCAGGAGTCAATCACAGCCTTTCAGCCAATGAGGAGAGAGAGGGGGCAGGGCTAAGCCATGACTCCATGTGTAAATGGACACACAGAGCAGTGACTCAGGAACACGTCTGCATGGGTGACCTCATAGGAAGCTGCTTGCTATGAGGACACCTGACAGAAAGGAGGAGCCAGGAGTACCAGCAGGGAACCTGAGAAGAGGAGGATCGGGACTGCTCTGTGCAAAACCACTGCAAAGAGCAGGTAAGTATAACACGTTTGTTATTTTACAACAAAAAAATGAACCTTTAGTATCGCTTTAAAGCTTCCCATAGTAAGCTAGAAACATTTTTTTTAATTCTTTAGCTCCATACACTGGACTAGATCCAGGCACTTGATCTCCTTAAAGCAGGGGTAAGCAACCTTAAAGAGGAGGAGATCTAGCTGAACAACATGGGAGAAGTCAAAGATCACCGGGCCCAGTGTCGCCCATGTGTCGCCTTCCCACGCCTGAATTAAACCTCTAATTGCCGTACTGCCGTGTCACAATCATGTATATTGCATGGCAAATTAATGGGGCCACTCTGCAAGTTCCCTGCAACTGCATGCTTCTGCAAGGTCCAAAGGGTTAAAGCAGGTGGTGAGAAAGCAACACACTGCTGCCTGCTTTAACCCCTAGTTTGCTGTACTGCATAAGATTGCAGGGCACTTGCAGAGCAGCCTCATTCACTTGAATTGGTCATGCTTGGCAAATGCTACACCCACCACCCATGACAGGGCATATAACTCTTGCTGCAACATGTGTACACCTCTGGCCACTGCAGCTAAAGGGTGTGTGGTTGGGACAGGGGTGGTAAAAACTCATCTTAACTATGGTGTTTTAACCACCCCCCAAACTGCAAATATAAATGAATCCTTACTGTTCTGATCCACCTATAAGGCTGCTTTCACACTGGTGTTCTGGTGTTTACCTGCACCGTAGGTGCAGCGCAGTGCATCTGTGACTGTTCCTGGGTTAGCTGCATTTTCCATAGACTTCTATTATATTCTGCAGGTGTGGTGTACTTTCTGAAAGTGCACCAAAACTCCTGAACACAGGGTATAATAGATGTCTATGGCTAAGAGTTGCAAACCCGCAGGAAAGCTGCAGGTACACGACACTGTACTCACACGTTGTGGGTAAACCGCAGTGTATCAGTGTGAAAGCAGCCGCATAATATTATGCCCAGGGTATTAATTCACACTGACCTGAAGATATCTTTTTTCCTGCCTCCGGAACCACTCTGGAGACTGTTAGCTGGGGTAAGAGGTGGACTGGTATCACTCCACATGGGACTGAAGCCAGCACTACAGAGGAGGCATTGGCTTATGTGGCTCTTGCTCCCTACTACAGCTCCAACTTTACAAGTCGCCCCTCTGCATTGCACTCTGTTTGATGCTCTGGGATGGGGGGACAGCAAGCCCAGACTGCGATCTACCAGTCACCTGGCTACAATCTACTGGTAGACTGCGATCTACAGGTTGCTGGCTCTTGCCTTAAAGTCCTAATTCACCTTTTTTTTTTTCTAAAGTACAGCTTCCCTAAGTATGTTGTATCAATATACTATATACTGTCTCCCACCCGCCATATAAGAAGATGAGGGGCATGCGGCAGCTCTCTCGTTCTGAGAGGACGTCATAGGACGTCCTCCCACTCTAACTGCGTATGCACGCCCCCAGGGGCACGCAGCATGATGATCGATGGTGTGTTGTGTCCTGGGGACACAGTGGATCACCGATCACAGTAAAGAGCTGATGACACAGGCTCTGTCATGTGATCAGCTGTGTCCAATCACAGCTGATCACATGTAAACAGGAAATTCCCGTTATCGACAGTCCTCTCCTCACGCTGACAGCGCGAGAGGAGAGGTTAGCCAGGAAGCGGAATTCCTCAGAGGGGACATCTACACGGATCATCAGGGCACTGATGATGATCAGTATAGCCCCATCAGTGCCACCTGTCAGTGCCCATCAATGCCACCTGTCAGTGCCCATCAATGCCACCTGTCAGTGCCCATCAATACCACTTGTCAGTGCCCATTAATGCCATACAACAATGCCCATCAATGCCACACAACAGTGCACATCAATACCCCATATCAGTGCCTACCAGTGCACATCAATGCCAAATATCAGTGCCCATCGGAGCTGCCTTTCAGTGCCAACTATCAGTGCCAGTCAGTGCTGTCTATAAGTGCCCATCAGTGCTGCCTAAATATTCCAATTAGTGCCGCTTATCAGTGACACCTATCAGTGTCATCAATCAGTGCCAGTCAGTGACATATCTCAGTGATCATCAGTGCTGCCTATCAGTGACCGTCAGTGCCACCTAACAGTTCCAATCAGTACAGCCTATCAGTGCCAGTCAGTGCCACCTATCAGTGCCCATCAGTGCTGCCTATCAGTGCCATATATGAGTGATGCCTTTCAGTGCCCACCAGTGATGCCTGTCAATGCCCACCAGTCATGCCTGTCAATGTCCATCAGTGCCACCTACCAGTGCCTCCTCATCAGTGCCACCTATCAGTGTCCATCAGTGCAGCCTATCAGTGCCCATCAGTGCAGCCTCATAACGCACATCAGTGAAGGAGAAAAATTACATATTTA